AGCACTGATGAACTCAAAATTTCTACATGTCTCAGTTTTGCAAATGTCCATAAATAAGGACTGAAATACAGAATGTTTCCTGAACATAAAAGAGGGAGATTTATTTCAAGAAAAGGGATAGTAAAAGCCTGCCTTCATTTCGATATAATTGTTTCCTGTACAACCACTCATAATGGAATGTTATCCTTCAAAATCCTGGTTGAACAAGTGAGACTTCAAGGTAAAGGATCTGGTTCAAAGTCAAGAGTAATAAACCCAAACTAAGCTTTTTCAATCCATTCTCTGCCAAAATTAAAGTTTACCCTGGGATGCTGGAGTTCTGTCTCTTAGAGATACAAAAAGATGATAGAAACTTGTATTGCTGTTTTTTTCCTAATGCATCCAAGGCTCTGAAGAAGTTACTGCAAGATATTCAAGCTTTGCCACCTGTTTTTCTTTCCCCACTCACACCTCACTTTATTAAGTTAGCCATCCATCCCCACAGCTCCCTTATTTTGGACAACCACACCCACACAACTCCCCAACTTGCCTATTACTAAAAATACTTTTTTCCCATTAAAAAAAGTTAGCTTATCCATCCAGGAAGCCCATTTATTCTGTAATATAAGCATCCATATCTACCACAGAGTCTCAGGTTTTAAGAGACCTTAAAGGGCATTGATTCCAATAGAAAAATGACTTTTGAAGTCATTTAAAGCATCCATTCTAATAGCAAGCACAAGTTATCCTTATAATGTCCCCACTACATGCCTGATCTAAACTGCCTTCACCACTCGAGTCAGACTTAAGAACTCAATGGAGAAGAAGTGGCCCTAAAAATGGGGAACACTGTCCCTGAACAGGAATAGTAAATGTGGTCTATGTTCTCAATGCTTCATAGTCAATAATCAACAACATGCAATTCCAAGTAGAATTAGGAAGAAAAATTACTTCCAAAAATACATTACACAATATAACTAAATACAAATCAACCCATGCCCTTATTTCCCAGTTAGTTAGTTCTAACCAAAATAGTTGTTTTCCCTCCTTACAATCTCCCTGCCAGGCTGTCTCAATGCTATTAGAAACCTTGAAGGCAGCTGCATTTAGCCAGAACAACCCCTATTTCAGTTTCTCATGGCATTTAACCCCTTTGAGAGGGAAGAGAACATGAAATAACCCACAGATTACCTATGATTCATTCCTTTAGGCACGTTTCTTATTACTATTAAATTATCCATGAAAATTTGGGTTCTTAAACTCATAAACTTCCCAATATACTTTGTGAAAAAAATTTCCTGAAGTTTCATGGCAGAAGCAGTGACCAAAACTACAGTGATGTCCAAACACATTTTCATTGAAACACTAACGTTCAAACTATCATCCCAAGCTTTTTATGTTTTTATTAACAAGTATAAAAACCACTCACTGGTGGTTGAAAACAATACTTCCCTGGTACCACCCTAATATGTTCAAAGTAACCAGTTCCTCTCCCCTAGAAATATCTACATTAAGGTATCAGTGGCTAAAGTTAATAGCTGTCTACATTGTGAAATGAACTGATGAGAGCCCTTACTTTTTTATACTATTCGTTGGGCTGCTTGCCCAGACAGGAAACAGAATTAAAGAAAATTTTAAATCTTCAATATTTCCAGAAATGTTACTTAAAAACGGAATGTGGAAGATGCGTCAAAGGTTGAAACTACAGACTCCAGTAAAAGTTTCAAAATTACATTGCAATTTTATTAATCCGGGTGGTACGGCTTCCTATCTCAACTTCCTTTCAGCCTTCCCCACAAAGATCCCTCACTCATTTCATCACGTGCCTTATTTAACCAAGGCTTACTGAGCACCTCGGCATATACCAGACACTAAGATAGTTGTGAAGAGAATACAGAGATAAGATAGTACCTACACTCAAGCAGCTCAGAGTCTAGAGGGAAAGACAAAAACAAATAGATAATTTTAATACAATATGATAAACATTTGAACTACCTGCTATAAGGCTCTGCCATGCAAATTAGCAGTATCATTCCAAACCACCTGCCTAAAAATTCTCTGGAAGAAATTTCACTGATAATCAAATGAAGTTTGAATCATTTTCAGTAAGTTTAAAAAATTAGGACAGCAATGGTGTGCATATGGAAAGATCCCTGCTCTAAAGATTGAAATAATATCCATTCTAGCATACCCAGCTCCCCATGGCTTTATGGAAAATGGATTTTTTTCTTAGGTTATTCCAAAAGGGACGGGGCTGGAAATCTAAATGAGGACTGACCCTCTGCAAAATGAAACAGCCTTGCCTCTAGCAAGGGCTTATTTTAGTCTGGCTCTTTTTTCTATTCTCTCTGGAGGATGGCAGTGCACTAGTGGTTAAGTCTGTGGACTTGGTAGATAGTCAGAACAGGGTATAATCCTGGCCTTGGCCACTCACAGGCAGTGAGATTTTCAGCAAACCTCAGCTTCTCTGAGACTCAAATTCCTTAAAAAACAAAAACAAAATCAGTTGTTGTGGGAAATTAAGTAAATAGTTTATGCAAAATGCTTAGCACAATGAGAAAAAAACAAGGGAGGGAGAGAGGCTGGCAGTTAGTAACGTACCAAAATAGAAGCAATAAATTATACAGAGCTAATCATTTCGTTATTCCAATTGAATAGTGATCTATACTTAATTTATTTGCACCCATTCCTAGACAGCAACTACCTCATAAACCTAAGGGTGAACTGCAATTACTGGGAGCTTTTTTTTTTTTTAAGATTTCCAATAGTCCCAATTTTTATACTAGCTGAAAGAACATGTTCTAGCCCCTCTGACTCTCCATAATTGGGACCCTATGAAAGGCACTACAACTCTAACCACCCACAAGATACCCCCACCTGGAACACAGACCATACCTAAATCGTATAACAAAGAAACCAACAGTATATAGGAGTCAAACAAGGAAAGAAAAATCTGCACATTTCATACTTATTTGTCATTTTTAATCCCAAAACCAAAATGAGGAGCAAAACAAAATTTTAAAGATTACTTGTTCACACCCCTTATTGTATTTCCTGAAAGAACTAGTGGAGGTGAAGTAAAAGACAATCTTCCATTTTATCATCCAAAAGGCTCTATAGTACATACCAGTCAAAACAATGCCTCAGTTCATGGAAATAGTCCTGGACGACAATTAACTAGGATGCTCACTGCAGCTACACAAAGCCCAGTACTTAAAGCTGGACCCAAATCACCACCATTCAGTCATCCAGAACCTATTTTCAAACTGCCTTTGTACTCCTTCTTCAGATTCCCTCATCCCTCCCCCTAAAGGTTGAGTGAGAAACTGACACTCCGGCAGCAATATGACCAACCCTTCAAAGATTCACCAAGAAACCTCCCTAGGCTGGAGTCGAGACAGAACATTTGAAAGAAAAAATAGAAAATATTAAATAAGAACTACAGCCCAACAGACTGTACACATTGTCTTTTTTCTTCCTTTTTAACTGCATTTGCTAAAATTATGAGATCTAGACATTAAAAATCTTACTGTAGCCCTTGCACAGATTATATTAAAAGAAGGAACAAAGTTGTTTCCTATGAAGCCACAACCTCATAAGAATGAAAGCATCTTGCAAGAAACACTCTTAGTTCTAGAAAAGAAATACAAGGAAGTATTCTAGTCTAAAAAGAATTCAGGTGGGGGAGCACAAAAATCAGAGATTATAGACACATATCAGTTTAAAGCTAATGAGCAGCTTACATATTAAGGCCCATGTTGTTACAATTAGGGCAGCAACTAATCCGGCTATAATTTTCAGACTGATTCACATTTTCAAAGGGAAAAGGAAGAGAACACTCAGTTTTAAGCTACTGATGAGTTGGCTATATAATTATTTAGAATCAGTATTTTTGCAAGAATATATGTGCAAAAACAAAACAAATCTTAAGGTTAAATAAAGCACAGTCAGGGCCTTCAGCTCTTACAGATTTCTGATTTCACAGCAAACAAAAAACTCACCTCCAAAAAAGGACTTTCAGTTTGATTTAAAATAAAAATTCCCTTTGTGCTTTCTCAAATGCATTCTAAACACTAAATTTTGTATAGTATAAGTGTTTTCTCTCAGCCTAAACTTATTTAATCCGTGGTCCTTTAAGAGAGCACAAAGCTAAAAATATTTTCAGGTGTGTTGCCACTTTACTCAGGTGAACTAAAAAAGCATTAGAATTTCCTATCCCTTTCAGCACATAAACCAAATGTTATCGTTATTTTCAAACTGAGCACACAACACCTCCACAAATCTCCATCAAAGGTAGTTTTAGAAGAAAAGGGGATTACAATTCAGTTAACATGGACCCAATCTGTTTTCTTTTATAAGGCGAAGCAGGGAGGCAACGTCTAGCAGGAGAACGAGGCTCCCACCCACCACACCTGGAAAGTAAAAGAGGGATCCACCCAGGAATAGCAGGGCTGAAACCGATCTGGGCCGTTCAAACTCTCTGGGGAGAAAAACCACCACCGTTTAAGCTGCAAAGCTCCCTGCAACTTTCCACTTCCACAAATCTAATGATAAAAGGGGGAAAAAGTTTTGAAACATATGAAGAACCATATGTCTAACCAGCTTCCAACCCGCACAAATTCCTTTCCCAACCCGCACACAAAATGCCAAAAAACAAAAAAGAAACCAACCTTTGCTTTGGGCTCTGAAAACACAAGTTTGTTAGCTTAATCCAGAAAAATATATAAAAGAACATACCAAAATGTAAATTTATGGAATTGCTCTCACCCCTCTGAATCTATTTATCTCCATTAGAGAAATCTAGAAGTTTGTTTCTGGGTCTTGCTATTTTACCTTTTTAAAATATAATAAAATTCCCCAAAGTAAACAGAAAGAAAAATTAATAACTGCTTAAAAGTCACCCGTCAGCATAGCAGACTCTCTCGTTTTTTAAATTCCCTCTGGTTACCGAGAGACAAAAATTCGACTTGGGTTATCCTCCTTTGCCCGTCTAAATACACATTTTTTAAAAAGGCACACACCTCAAATGTGGACTTCTATAAACCAGTCCTTTACGAAAGAAACCCAAGGCTTCGTCAATGTGTTGAGAAAGGCAAATCCAGCAAGGTAGTTGATTTTTCGCCACCTCTTCCTCCTTTCAGGATCTTTCCTGGTCTTCTTTCTCTCTCTCTCTCTCTCCCTTTTTTTTCTCTCAGATCCAACACCTAAAATGGAAGTTGCACCCAGCCAAAGGCTAGGGAGCCTGGGTGGTGACAAACTGATCTGGCAGCCCTACCCCCTCGCTTTCCTAAGTGATGTCAGCCTCTGAGAGCTTCCAATAGGAGCCAGGCATAAATCAGGGAGCAGATTTTATCCAATAGGAAACTTTATTATAGGAAATTAAAAAAAAAAAAGGGAAAGAGGAGGAGAGAAATGGGGGAAGTTTTATATATATATTTATATTTAAAGTGGAGACCGTACAATCTCTCAGGAATTGCCGCACAGCCCAGGGGCCGAGGGAACAGGGCTCTTTAGAATGGCATGCCTGAGGTCGGCTCTCTCTGATGGTGGGGCTCTTCCTCCTTCTCCCTTCCTTTCCAGGTGGGGAGAGAAAAGAACTGATTTTACTTGCCTGTTATTTGATTTGTTGCTTTCTACCCCAAAGCATTTTCCCAAAGGAAGACAAGAGAGAAATCCTAAAAATAGGACTATCATGTGTTGATTGGGATGATAGAGGATATCTGATATAAACTGTTTCATTGTTTTGGTTTAACTACACTAGAGCTAATTAGAAAAAATAAATGCCTGGACTTAACAGTTCTTAGCGTCTATACTCTCAACCACAAGGAAGCTGAATCCACTGGGCTATTGAGGAAAAAAACTGTCTTCCCATTTGTCCTCAGATTAAAATAATGTGGGTTTGAGGGGCAGAATGAATGGAATACAATAAACAAGCAATATGTTTACAGGAGATAACAGCATGTGTAAGGAACAATCTGTCTCACATCAAGAAAATTAGCTTCCTTTATGAACTTCATACTTAAGCTGATACAGTTCAGATGTTCTCTTTTTACACTTGTTCTTTAAAAAAAGGATTATGCAGGTATTCTTTTTCTGAGGTAAGAGTTATTTTAATATGTTCATAAGTCAGGCCGTTAAGGACAGAGATAGGTTTTGTTTTGTTGTTTTTCACATGCTTGACAAAGACTAGTATTTCATGCTCATTCAGTAGTTACTAAACAAAGATGATAATGATGAACTGAATTTTTCCTTTTTCTATCTTATTGAAAAATCTAAGATCTATCCTGTAAACTGCTGCCAAATGAATCTTCATAGAGTTTTCATAATCTAGAATAGTGGTTAAGAGCCCAGTTTCTGCAGTAAGACTGACTGGCTTCAAACCTTCTAAATACATTTATTCAGGTAAATGTATTACTTATTATGTGACCTTGGACAAATTATATAATTTTTAAGTGCTTCAGTTTCCTTAACTATAAAAGAGAGATCATAACTACCTCTCCCTCATAGGACTATTGTGAGAATTAAAATACACATAAAGTTCTTAAGGCAATGTATGGCATAGTATAAACTCACTAAGAATGAGTTGTTATCATTATCTACCCTACCCAGAAACCTTCACTCGCTCACCATTGCCCAGTAATAGTAACCAATGATGGAGCATCTATCATGTGAGAGTCACTTTGCACTCTATCTATAACTTCTAAAACTTCCACTGTAAAGATAGTATTACCATCATTTTATAGATGAGGAAATCAAGACTCAGCAAGGTTAAGAAACTTCGCTGAGTTCATCTGGCTAAGAAGTAAACCCCTCATCAATATGACTCCAAAGCCCATGCTCTTTCCATCACCTTACACTGTGATCAAGAAAAAGGCCAAGTTCCTCATCTGCTCTCAAGGTGCCACACTTATTCATTCAAAAACATTAAAGTAACACTTTTTAACCATAACCTGACCTTTCCTTATTATCTGAACTGGAATTCCAATTCCACTCCTCCTCAGCATAAATGTGCCCTTCTAACCAGGCTGATCTAGCCATTATTCACTCCCGCAAGTCTGGTCTATAGTCTCACAGACCTTCATATTTGGTCTAATGTATCCAAAAAGGACTCCCTCAGAAGTGCTGGAAGACCAAACATGCATCACAGCACTTGTTTGGTGGGCTTTAAACAAACTAGAATGGGAAAGGAATACATTTAACAGAGAAATGAACAGACAGACTTTAACTCTCATTACCTAAGAATCATCTCCTATTACCTTATCACATCTTCTGTCTCTACTTCCCATCTATTCCTGCTCCTCCATAGCAAGTTCAAAAGCTAAAGATGACTGCCAAAGGAAAACAATCAGCACAGAAATGTTTGTTGCTTTCACTGGTTCCTAGATCAGAGCCATATTCTAAATATTGTATGATTTTCTAGAGATGGATTGGTCTTGTTTCCCTCGCACTGCCACTAACAAGTTGCAAGTGTACTGCCTTCCTTTTTCGTGTGTGTGTGTGTTTCCCTGTCTCCTCCAACGGAGGATAAGTTCCAAAGTTCCACGAAGGCATGAACAGTGTCTTTCTAGTTCTGGTATATCCCAAGAGCTCAGCCTTGTATCAACAGATGGATGAGTGAATAAAGTCTCTTGGCTGACTAGTTATGTAATCCTGGACAAGTCACTTAACATTAATGAATTTGTAGATTACATTCAAAATGAAATTATATACAAATAAAAAAAGATAACTTGGTGGTGAAAAAGTTGTTAAATTTTAAATTTATCTGGAACATCCACCTTCAAATAAAGCATCTACGGAAAAACTGTTTACACTCCATAGAAAATAAAAAGACTAGTTCTACTTGGGTTATTTTAAGCACCTACTGTGAGCCAGTAAATGACAAAAATAATGAGACGGACACGTTTCCTGCTCTCAAAAAAGCTTACATTCTAGTGGGAGGAGGGAGAAGATTAATAAATGTCAAATGGAGGACTATGCAGAGATTTAAAACAGACTGATGAGAATGACTTGTGGTCCATTTCAGACTGGACGTCAGGAACAAACTCCCTGGAGAGGTGACGTTTAAAGGTTGAAATCTGCCCAGCCAGGCATGGCTCAGAGGTTGAGCATCAACCTAGGATCCAGGAGATCGAGGTTCGATTCCAGGTCAGGGCACATACCCAGGTTGCGGGCTTGATCCCCAGTCGGGGGTGTTCAGAAGGCAGCCAATCAATGATGACTCATCACTGATGTTTCTATCTCTTCCTCTCCCTTCCTCTCTCTGAAATCAATAGATATATGTAAAAAATAAGTAAATAAAAAATAAATAAATAATAAATAAAAGTTGAAATCTGAATGGTAAGAAGCAGCCAACCATGAGAAGATATGAGCAATGATAACTACTAATACCAAAGCTCTTAAGTGTGGGGTTGAAACACATGGGATCCAGCAGAGCTGTTGCAAATGAGGAGGGAGGGATAGGCAGGAATCAGAACGTGAAGGGTTCTATGGTAGGGGAAAGCCTGTGAGGGTTTTAAACAGCAGAACAATGTGATCTAAGCCACATTTTGAAAAGGTCAGGCTACCTATGTGACAAAGGGATTAAAGAGGAACAAAACTGAAAGTAAGAAAATTAGTTTGAAGGTCAAGTGATGGTGACAAGCAGTTCACTACAGTGGTAGCAGTAAAAATGGAGAGAAGTCAATGGATTGGCGATATGTTTAGAGATAGTGTTGTTTTTTGTTTGTGGGGTTTTTTTTCCTTCCTTCCTTCCTCTTCTTTTTGTATGCATGGAATATTACATTTAGTGGTCGGTTTTACAACTCTCAAAGTTTAACTTTCCCACCCATAACTGTCAACACTTACTTACACATGAAGAAAAAGAAGATAACATTAAATGGTGAATGATAAGGAAAGAACTGGGAAATAAAATTGTATTTTAAAAAAAATATTAAAATTCTTATATGAGGCAGAATGCTGTGCTGTGATGACTCTACTTCTAAAATAGACTAAAACTGTAAATGCCAAGCAGAAATTTAAAAAAAAAAAAAATCAATTCCAAAAAAACACTGGCTAACTATACAGAGGAAAACAAAATATTTTTACCCCTTTCTATCCTCTGGTAGCTACATATTACCATTGAAAGTTTGTCATTTTTGAAGCCCTAAGTAGGGTGGCCATTTTACATTTCCTTTAGAAATTCTACTAATACAAGATTTAACTAAAATGGTACTGGATTTTTTAAAAAGAAGGGAGTCCTCTACTAATCCTGATAACAATATATTCATGAGGGCATAGAATATTTATATTTTTGTTACAGAACTCCACACAATCACCTATAACTACACTGGTACTCCACTGCATAATCGCATCCTGATTCCACAGTAACAGATGCCATCAACAAGTATTGTTCTGCCTTATGTTCGTTCTTTTTTTTTTAACTTGCTTTTTTATGCATCTGCGCGCTGCAGATAATATCTAAAATCTGTCCTTCTGTTAAGTTTTATGTCCTTTCACGAACTGCTTCCTCTTCAAAATATGACAACTGCAACCGAAAATGTCTCCTGTTCTCCTTTTCTGTCTTAAGAGCTGAAGCCTCAAACGAGGGAAAATATGACCCGACTTGCAGATGCTCAACATCCCACCCATGGTTCAGCTAACCACCTCAAATCCTTTTCTGAGAAAGTATTAAATGCTAATAAAGACATACTTGAGCACACTGTATTACTCACCCCTCCGCGCCTGGTCCCTGTGCAGGGTCCCCTCCTCTTAGGCGCCTTCCTTCTCCGCCTCGCGCTGGCCTCAGCGGGGGCTTCTCCGTTGCAGCCCTTCGCGCTTTGTCACCAATGGCTCTGGATTCGGCCACTTTCACGCAGCGCTGGCCACCTAGGGGCGTCTAACCGAAGCCAGGAACCGGGGCCTAACACACAGGGGAAAGACCCGCCGTCCAGACTGATAAACTGGTTGGCATTCTTGCTAGATGCTTCTAATACAGAGATCATTTAATTTTTCAAATCCTCCCTGAAAAAGCTGCTTCAGTCGGGAAGTGCCCTACGCGAACCATCTCTGGAAGGACACCGCCGGCCACTCCGGACGGGAAGCTGCGACCCCCTCCAGGTACCAGTTCGCCAAGATGTGGGGCTGGAGCGGGATCTGGGAAAACCCTGAATTCAGAAACCAACCCAGTGACCTTGCTCCCGAACACCCCTGGCCTTACGAGATAGCTGCATGAGAGACGAGGGGACGAGGTGCGAGGAGAGCCACCCCCGGGCCCTTTCCGCCATTAAGCATGGCGCGCTCTTGGCAGGGCTGCCGCCATTTGCAG